AAAGTTGGCCTTTTTGAAATTGTAAACCTTAGTTACAGTATCATTTCTGTTAATCCTTCCATTAAGTTTAAACCGAATTAGCTCATGGTCACTCGAGCCAAGGTTGTCCCCTACAACCATTTCTTCAACGAGGTCCTCACTACTCACCAGCACTAAATCTAAAATGGCATCCCCCCTCGTCGGTTCACTTACTACTTGATGAAGGAATTCATCTGCTAGCACGTCTAAGAACATCTGAGCCCTATTATTGTTACTAGCATTTGTTACCCAATCTATATCTGGGAAGTTAAAATCCCCCATGATGACACAGTTCTTATCAGTTTTTATTTCCCTAAAAACATTAAGTAGTTCTTTGTCCGCCTCCAGGCTAGATCCCGGCGGTCTATAACACACCCCAAGCACTATCTCGGGGGAGGCTCTAGTGGTTCTTTTATGCAGTGTAATTATTGCCCATACAGACTCCGTCTTATCCATCCCATCACTTATTATTTCTTTACATTTTATCTCGTTATTGACATATAACGCCACTCCCCCACCTTTACCTTTTTTCCGGTCATTCCTAAACAGCACATACCCTTCCATACCTGTACTCCAGTCATGATTACCGTTCCACCACGTTTCGGTTATTCCTACGATATCAGGTTTCATTTCTTGGACCAGGAGCTCCAATTCCTCCATTTTGTTACCTAGGCTTCTCGCATTGGTGTATAAACATCTTACCGTATGCTGCCTATCCTTTCTCCCATTAGTTATGCAATTTGGAACGGACCCCATGCTGTCCATCTGCCCCCTCTTTCTTATGTCCAATTCCCTACCCCCACCTATGTCTGTGCTTATCTCCTCACACTCCTTTTCAGTGTTGGAATCTGGCGTGGAGATTAACTGAACATCTCCCAACCGTCTCCCCCAAGTTCCTAGTTTAAAGCCCTTTTGATGAGATGAGCCAGCCTCCCTCCCAGAAGTCTATTCCCTTCCCTACTCAGGTGAAGTCCATCCCGCGAGAACAGCTGTCTGTCCCCGAAAGCCTCCCAGTGGCCATACATCCCAAAGCCCTCCTTATAGCACCACTCCCTTAGCCAGCTATTTATCCTCATAATTCTGTCAGCCCTTTGCTGTCCTTCTCTTGGAACAGGCAGAATCCCACTAAAGATAATCTGAGCCTCCACTTCCTTAAGTGTCTTCCCCAGCCTGGCATAATCTCCCTTAATTCTCTCTAGCGAGAACCTAGCCGTGTCATTCGTTCCTACGTGAAGGATGATCAAAGGGTTCTTACCTGCTCCTTTTAGGATCCTTTTCAACCGCAGGTCCACATCCCTTATCTTAGCTCCCGGCAGACAGCACACCCTTCTGTTTTCAGGGTCCGCTCTGGTCACAGGCCTGTCCAACCTCCTCAGCAAGGAGTCTCCAATCACATAAACCTGCCTTTGCCTGGTGACAGTACTCTGTACAAATCTATCCCCTGTCCCCTGTAGTCGTACCTCTTGTGTCTCTCTATTTTCCCTTATAGTCCCCCTAGTGCCATCCTCTATCCTACTGGGGCCCGGTATAGGTGCTGTCTCCATCAACTCCTGCCCTCTCTCTATCGGACTAGCCGCTCTTCTCTTCTTCCTCTGCCTCCCACCATCAGTTACCACCTGCTGCCTCTCTTCCTCGTTATCCAAACACTCAAACCTGTTTCTGAGTTCTATTCCCCCCTCACTAGCCCTCCTTTTCCTTGGCCTGCTCCTCACAGTCACATGCTTCCACTGATCTTGCTCTGCCCCTGACCTCACCTCAGTCCCTGGAAAAATCATGGAGCAGGTCCTCAAGGAAACCATTTTAAAGCACTTGGAGGAGAGGAAGGTGATCAGGAACAGTCAACATGGATTCACCAAGGGCAAGTCATGCCTAACCAACCTGATTGCCTTCTATGATGAGAAAACTGGCTCTGTGGATATGGGAAAAGCAGTGGACGTGATATATCTTGACTTTAGCAAAGCTTTTCATATGGTCTCCCACAGTATTCTTGCCAGCAAGTTAAAAAAGTATGGATTGGATGAATGGACTATAAGGTGGATAGAAAGCTGGCTAGATTGTCGGGCTCAATGGGTAGTGATCAACAGCTCGATGTCTAGTTGGCAGCCGGTATCAAGCGGAGTGCCCCAGGGGTTGGTCCTGGGGCAGGTTTTGTTCAACATCTTTATTAATGATCTGGATGATGGGATAGATTGCACCCTCAGCAAGTTCGCGGATGACACTATGCTAGGGGGAGAGGTAGATAAGCTGGAGGGTAGGGATAGGGTCCAGAGTGACCTAGACAAATTGGAGGATTGGTCCAAAGGAAATCTGATGAGGTTCAACAAGGACAAGTTCCAAAGAGGATGGAGCTCGGCTGTTCTCAGTGGTGGCAGAGAACAGAACAAGGAGCAATAGTCTCAAGTTGCAGTAGGGGAGGTCTAGGTTGGATATTAGGAAACACTATTTCACTAGGAGGGTGGTGAAGCACTGGAATGGGTTACCTAGGGAGGTGGTGGAATCTCCATCCTTTGAGGTTTTTAAGGCCCGGCTTGACAAAGCCCTGGCTGGGATGATTTAGTTTGGTGTTGATCCTGCTTTGAGCAGGGGGTTGGACTATATGACCTTCTATGATTCTATCTACAGTTCCCACTGGTTTTGCTGGGGAATGTGGGTGCAGTGCATCTCTGAAACTCAAACCAAACATCTTCACTATAAAACTGGCCAAGTTTTTCAGTCCTCACTCAGTCAAAACTTTAATTGTCTTTAGTGGGAAATTCTGCCAAAATGGAGGACAATAAGATATGGCTATATGTAACCAATGTGGACTAAAATGTGGACTTCTCCAAATCTCACACATGAGTGAGCTGCATGGGATTGTATTCTACATATTGCATTAAAACCTAAATTACAGTAACATGAAGTGTGTAAAGCACTGACAAAATCCACAAAGCCATCTAACAATAATTTCCATTTGTAAATCAAGGCTGTCTTTAGCATGCCTTCCTATTATGCCCAGTTATCACAAAGCGTATGGAGAGTGACCATGGGGAAACGTTAACCACTTGTATAATAGGTTAAGTGGAAAAACTGTGTTCAGTTTGCAGTCTGATTGTGATCCCGACACCCAACCTTGCTAACCTGAAATAAATTCACGTGAAATTTTACAGCTGTGATATAGGGCAGGGTAGATTTTTTCCTGGAAAGCTTGCTGCAAATTGGAAAAGGTGTATGGGAGATTATTTTAAAAAATAAAATAAAAACAGGGTGATCTAATTTTTTTCAGTGCCTGCAGTGTGGTGCCTTGGCCCCACACTAAATCTATTTAGAAAAATCCTAATGCAATCTCTCTTTCTCGGTCTCTCTAAGAGGTTGTCAGCTTTCCAACAGAAAATGCTGATTCGATGGACTCTACGTGTTCCGTGGGAACATGTAGATTGCTTCAATACTTTCAATGGAAACCAGGCAGGCCAGCCAACTGGCCATCCTGCCTGCCTGCTTTCCTGCTAGCTCCCCCGCCTGCCCACCTCTCTGTTCCCATGCTTCTTGGCAGTCTCAGTGGTGGAGCTGGGGTTATCCCGAGCTTTCAGGCGACTTGATCCTCAGCAGCCAGGCTCCTTGGCAGACCATCTGGTGAGCAGTTGCAGAGCTGTGCTTCCAGGCTCCCCAGCTCCCTAAGATACCAGAAGTCTGGGTGGCTGTCTCTCAGGGATGCAGATGGGTGGGCTCCTAGGCTCCCTGAGCAGCTGACTCCCTAGCTCCCTGGGCTACTGGGCTCCTTGGGTGGCCAGCTCACCAGGCCGCCTGCCTAATAGCTGATATGCTGGGTATCCCAGCGATCATATTTCATTTTGGAAATACCACAACATTTCCACTATAGCAGTGGTTCTCAACCAGTGGTACGTGTACCCCTGGGGGTACACAGAAATCTTTCAAGGGGTACATCAACTCACCTAGATATTTGCCTAGTTTCACAACAGGCTACATAAAAAGCACTAGCAAAGTCAGTACAAACTAAAATTTCATACAATGACTTGTTTATACTGCTCTATATACTATACACTGAAATATAAGTACAATATTTATATTCCAATTGATTTATTTTATAATTACATGGTAAAATGAGAAAGCAAGCAATTTTTCAGTAATAGTGTGCTGTGCTATTAGTGCTGTGACCCTTTTGTATTTTTATGTCTGATTTTGTAAGCAAGTAGTTTTTAAGTGTGGTGTTAATTGGGGGTACACAAAACAAATCAAACTCCTGAAAGGGGTACAGTAGTCTGGAAAGGCTGAGACCCACTGCACTATAAGAACATTTCAGCATTTCTGAAACAAAATATTGCAGAATTTCAATTTTTGGCCTTTCATCCTGATTCTGGATGAAAAGTTCTGCAAATTCAATTTTTTTTTTGTGGGATGGAAATTCTGTTTCCTGGACTGTTCTGAGGGGCTGCCTTATTTGATTCTCTTTGTTTTCCTCTTATTATTTTTAGATCCACTATTGTCAAATCCCCTTAGAACAGCTCTTTCTGCTCACTGTTGTATCTGTCAAAATGCACCATCACTTGGTGTGTGAAGGGTACAGAATTCTATATTCAGACATATCCTTATTTACACATTTTTTAGCAATGCCCTTTGCTTCAGCACACCTGAAGTCTATGAATATTAACAGATACAAACTCTCTGGACTCAATTATGTGCTCAAAAGTGCTAGGTTTTATTATTATTCACTTGTATGCACAGCTACATATAAAAAGTACAGAGCCCAAGTATCCTACTTGCATGAGTGAGGAGTTCAGGACAAGGCCCGCTGTACAGAACCTGCCTGGAAGTTACACCTCTTAGAGTTCCTCAGTGATGCAAAATGAAGTAGTTGCAGATTTTTCAAGTAATTCTGCTCTGTGAAAGTACGAACCCTTTAGAGATACTGTTATAATCACTCCACAGGTGTGATCCAAATGGAATGTTGTTTCAATAATATTCATTCTTATCTTCCTTTGTTTCAGAATCTGATGTTAGGGCTGAAAAATATAGCTGACTTCTTTGGGTTTTCCCTGAATGAGGAAGAGATTCAGACTGTTGCAGAGAAGAGCAGCTTCAAAGCTATGAAAGAGAAATCCTCCAAAACTCATGGAACATTTGGGAAAATTCTCTTCCGTAAAGGTACATTTCTTAAAACTCCCTATAAATGATCACCAGTCTCTTGCAGTGAAGTCACTAGCACAGCACCTTTAGCTGGCTGGGTGAACTGAAGGCGCAGGTTCTGATAAGGTCTTGGCTCCAGCAACCCTATCTTTTAGGGCTGTTGTAAAAGTCTGGGCATCTGTGACATCACAGGCTTGGCAACTCTAGCTTGCTGGTGTGATGTGAAGGCACAGTCCTCTGCAAGGGTTAGTGGCTCAGGACCTTTGTCTTGCTGGGATAGTATCCAGGAACCTTTTATTGCTGGGTGGATGGCCAGGGAAAGGCCTCTCTGATGCCACTAGAGTAGCACTGATAACCCCCACTGTGATGAGCATGTAACATCCACCTCAAATCCCAGGCCAAAGACAAAATCCAGAGTGCATCCAACTATAGGTGTTGAGCCAGACTGTCCCTGGGCTAGTGCTATGGCTGTCGTTGGTGGCTGTGGAATCTTGAGCTAACGTAGAAGTGCCACAATCAATGCAGAAGTTGAAATCGCCCAGTACAATTGCTGCAGTGACTCTGGCACTGCCACTGGTTAGCTCAGGAAGGTACTCCGAGATACAGTGGGGTTACCTGTAGCTCACATTAGTCTGGGGCTCTATCATCTTTCATTGGGATTTCACTGCATCGTGTCCATTGAGAGGGAGACCACGTCTGTCTCTCCCTCAGCCTCACCACTGGCCCACATCTCCAGATGTGTGGATCACATGGGCTCCAGAGAAAGGGGAAGATGATATGAAGACGGTTCACCCCACCTTCCACAGAGAATACATCAGATTTGTGTGTGGAAGTTCCCCTCTGTGGGTTATGAATCATGGGGGCATTACCAGGCCCTGAGTTAGGATCTCTGGATGCCAGAGGCTGAGGCTGGCACACAAGAACAGAGCTCCTAATAGTGGAGTGTGCATGGAGAATCTGATGTCTTCCCCTACATTTATTTAAGAATAAGCACCACACCTAACAATACACATGCTTAGTTTGTAGTTTGAAGACCATCTTATCAAGAAAAAAAGCTACAGACTTGGGGCCAAATCACACCTGGTGTAAATGAGTGTAATGACTCTTGAATATAACAAAATGGATATTTCTGGGGCCAGTTAGTTCTGAGATATGGTATGACCAAAACAAGAAGATATACCAAGAACTACCTGTATTTTTAAAAAATCCTACATCTTAGAAATGGCTTCTACACTTCACCTCATACATTGCTGAAAAATTCTCCTGTTGTCACAAACCTCAAATGTAGAGGCACAAGAAGAAAGGATCAATTCTTTGGGATATAGATGGGGGAGTGAAGGTTGTGATATGCAAAAATCAGCCTTGCAATAGAAAGCTAGTTACGACGTCAACCAAGGAGTGATGATCCTTTCTCTCTAACAAATGATTATATATTTTTTTAATGTTTGCAGGAATTATTGGTGACTGGAAGAACCATTTCTCTGAAGCTCAGAATAAAGAAATGGACAGAAAATTTGAAGAGTGTTTAGCAGGAACTAAACTGGGAGAAAAGATAAAATATGGATTGTATTGCAAGGCCTAAAGAGCAAAATCTAATGCAACTGTTTCCCTTAGTATGATTTGTTCACTTGTTTTTGTACACTAGAAAAATCATCTAAAAATCATATTAAACTCCCAAGGTTACAGCTTTTCTCTGACCTTGGATGAGTAGATGCTGCCACCACCCAAGTGCAAAAAAACCCTTCGAAAACCCAGGAAGGCGCACTTGGGAATTCCTTCCTGTGGGGCAGCCTCAAGCCCTTTCACCCCTCACCCACTTCTGGGGAAGAGCTGAGAAAGAAAACAAAGGAAATCAGCTGTTGCCACCAGCTAATTAACCAACATGTGCACAAACCTCTTAGGGACACAAAAATGCAATCCAGGAATTCCCAAGTGCACCTTCCTGTGTTTTCAAAGGTGTTTTTTGCACTTGGGTGGTGGCAGCATCTACCCATCCAAGGTCAGAGAAAAGCTGTGACCTTGGGAGTTTAATACAAGCCTGGAGTGGTCAGTATTAATTTTTAGAATCCTTGCGGGCCCCCACATTCTGCACTCGAAGTGCCAGAGTAGAGAATCAGCCTTGACATGGTGGCAGAGCGGTGGCTGTAAATTCCATGGCTGTAAATTCAGCAACTTTCCTAAACACTAAAATTCATCAGAAAATCTATTAACAAGAAAAATATTCCAGGCATGCTGACCTGATGCCAAGGTTAGGCAGTCGTTTAAATACTGGAGCCAAGAATACCAACAAGTGCAAAGAGATGATATAGAGGGTCAGAGAGAAATTCTTAGAATGGCCAGAGTATAGAGTACAAAGGGAAAATCCTAATGAAACAAAGAGGTGATTTTCCCCTCTATGTGGCTCTACTTGACTGTGCCTGAAATATTGTGTTCAGTTCTGAGAACTTCAGTGCTAGAAAGATATCGACAAACTAGGTGCAGTTCAAATAAGATCAACAAAGATTATCAGCAGGGTGGAGGGATTGATTTATAAAGAAGATTCATAGAGTGAGCCAGATTATGCTCTCGGTTACATCAGTTTAAGTCAGGACTGACTGCCAAAATCTATGGAATTTCTCTGGATTTTCAATGGTGTAATCCAGTGGAGAATTTCACCCAGTATGTATAGATTGGCTAAATGGCAGCTAAATAGGGACATGATAGCAGCTGACACCTATTTGACAGAAAGCAGAGGAATATATCAAATAGGGAGAAGAATTCTTTCTTTTAACACCTGGGTGTACAAGACTATAGGTGTGTCTCTGAAAAAGGGAGAGTTTAATCTGAATGGGAAAAAATCTTGACAGAGAAGTGTATTAAGTTGTGTAACATACAATTAAACCTCATTATCTGGGGACACTTAAATCTAGATAGGACAAAGTACCAGAAGATGTATTGCAGGGAAGCATCCTGAACCAGCAGTGAGATGGACTGGGTGAGCTAGTAGGATTTTTCCCATAAATGATTCTATGAGCAGGAAATAAATACAGCTTTTTCACTAGGGGTTGTGACCTCACCAGTTTCTCAGAAGCTAAACAGATTCAGGCCTGGTAAGAATTTGGATGGGAGCAGGGCCGGTGGAAGGATGTTTCACGCCCTAGGTGAAACTTCCACCTTGCACACACCCCCGTCCGCGAGCCCCCGCCCTGAGGTGCACCCCCCCCCCCCGCCGCCCCCCCCCCCCTGCCCTGAGGCAACCCCCCGCGGCCGCTCCCCACCCCGCACCCTGAGGCGCCCCTCCGCCCCAGCTCACCCCTGCCCCGCCTCCTCCCCGAGCACGCCGTCGCGGCTTCACTTCTCCCGCCTCCCAGGCTTGCGGCGCCAATCAGCTTGTAGCCTGAATTTATTTCTCCTGGTGATAGGCTTGTGGTCCTCTGCCGGGCCCGTTGGACCAGGCCCTGGTAAAGTGTACCCCTTTTCTCCTCTTTACGTGCAGCTTGCTCCTGAGATGAGAAAGTAAACTCTTTTGCTCAATAGGACCACTCACAATAGTAAACACACTCACTTGTTTGTAAAAAGCAACACCCCTCTGATACTTGTCACTTGTTTGTGTGGTTGCAGGATCAGGCCCCCAGGGTGGATCCTTAAACTTTCTTCACCCATGACCCCAAAAGCAGCCACAGAGCTTTCCTGCCAACAAAGCCTGCAATCCCAAAGTGATCTGCAACTGCATATTTCTAACTTGCATATTTTAATCGATCTAAAATAGCAATTATTTAAAAGCAGCATTGATGGATACCGGGGAAGGAGCCACTGGGTAGGAAACCAGATGGTTGTTGAGCGAACGGTGCTAATCTCTCCTGTGCCCCTCACCACCACACTCAGCTCCATGGAAAGGCAGAACTTAAACGTAGTATCAAGCTAACTGCAGCCTGTGAGCAACAGATTCCATCTAGGCTACTGTCTCCTCACAGGCTTTAACCACCTTGCTCTCTTGGAGCTTAATGTAATGCAGGCAGGTGGGCAAAACAAAAATTTGCAGCATGAGAGGGCCAGAGCAGCATCAGAAGGATAGATTAATCCTTCCTGTCCCTTATCTCCCACTGGGTCCTGGCCTTTACACAGAGGCTGTTTACTTTTTATTGGGAGATTTTGAATCACTTCTAGATTTGATACCTTTCAATTTCACTAACTCTCTCTCTCCCCCGCCACCCATTCTTGTATTATATGAGAGGGTGAGGAGAAGTGCCCTACCAACCTTCTCTAAACCATTCGTTATCTTCTACACCTTTATTGTGTCCCCTCTGACTGCTGCCTCTCTGGTACATCAGCCCGTCTTTTCAGTCTCATTTGATGTGGAAATGTTTCCATGCCTCCAACCATTCTCAGTGCCCCACCCTCCTCTCTCCTGCCAAATAACTCTTTAGATGGTGCTTTTGTGAAGCCATAGAGATAGTGAATTTCAGGATTCCCCATCTTTCCCTCACCTTTTCCCATTTAGAGTTAGCATTCATTCACCATTCACTCACCTTTATTCTTTGTTCTGGCTGATCTCACCAGCTTAGCTGTTTGAGACCACCTATTGCTTGGTAACAGCCAGATCAGATCACAGCAAGAGCCTCAAGAGCAGCGAGCACCTTGACATCAGGGCTGTAACCAGGGCAGGGCAAGCAGGGCAGCCACCCAGGGTGCAAAGCCGTGCTGGGAGGAAATGAAGGGGGAAAATGGTAGGGGGTGCAAATATACTTGCTTGCCCCAAGCACAAAAATGCCCTCGTTACGGCTCTGCTTGCCATGCTTCATCCTAGAAGCCATTTTGTGAACCCATCCAGCCAAGACAAAACATAGGGCAGCAACTGAGAGCCATTTGTAGCTTCTCGATTGGGACTGACAAGTTAATGGAGGCCGAAAGAAGTCCCAATAAAGTAGCTTTGGCAAATCTGAGATTCCCATTCAAAGGACAAGGATACCATTAAATCTAAATAGGGAGAAATTGCTTTCCGGCATTTTGTCTGTCTAAAGAAATTTTTCCGGATTCAATTATAGTGCCTAGGACTGTAGCAGATCTCAAAAGCCTATTTAACAGAACTGTTTGGTCTTTCTAGAAAGAGTCCTTTCATTATTTTGTTCGTTTTTAGCCAGTTATTTTTAAATAATTCACATATGCCTTAAACCTCACCAACTTCTAGCAGGACTTTAACATGAACTGTTAACAGCTGTGATCAGCAGAACCTTCCCAGGAAATTCTGTTATTAAAACTCAACTGCTGTGTCTTCAAGGTGGAATCATACTGTGCAGCATTATAATTACCTTGTTACATTGTGGATGTTTATCACATTTTCTCGTTACTATCTGTGTGACATGGAGTCAAAGTCTAAAATGAAGACTCCCTACCCAGAATCCCATTTCCATGAGATAAGGACAAAATATTGCTGATGTAACAGTTCTGCATGACAAGGTGAGACACCATGAGAGACAACCACTACCAGATGTCACCAACTCTGTCACATGTTGAATGATGAGCAAATAAAACTGTGGCAGTTCCCTGCACACACCAAAATAAAAGCTCTTAGACTCAGATTTTTCAATCCAGAACGGACCATGGTGATAATTTAGTTGACCACCTGCTTATCACAGGCTATAGGATTTTAACCAGTGATTCTTGCATCCAGTCCAATAACTTGTGGTTGAAGTAGAGCATCTATTTGAGAGCAAGATCTAGTCTCAAGCTGAGGATTTCAAGTAATGGCAAAGGGGAGTAGTGGATTCACCAAGTTGTTCCAGTGGATAATTGCCCTAAGTGTTAATGCGCACTGTATTTCCAGTCTAGATTTGCCTACCTTCAACTTCCAAGTACATGGTGTCTCAGCTACTGCTCACTATTCTGCAGAGAAAAATTCAAATGCTAGTGCACAATGCACCATGCTGCTCTTTTCCTGAAAAGAAAAGAGAGAGAGAAAAAAAAAGAACTCTACTCTGCGACCCAATGTTCTGGTATTAGTCACCCAGGAACACAAGACCGTCATGCCAGTGTGTATCTGAATGAAAAGGCAGGTGATAAAATTCACTCCTGTGCAGAGGGCCAGCACAAGTCCTGAGCACTGATTACATCCCTGGCAAGCCCTATTTTGAGGGCTTCTCTGGGATTTCAGTAGTGCATAGACTTTGTACTGACCTTCGGCACAGGGCTGAATTTAATCTATAAAGCATCTGTTCCTGCAAAGTGCAGAGCTCCTCTTGTGAGATGCTGCGTGTCCTCAATTCCCATTTACTTCAATCAAAGAGAATTGGCACCAAAGTACATTCTCTTATTAGGGACATGCAGAGATGAGGAGATCTGTTGAGTCCATCAGTGAGATCTTCTGAAAGGTATGAGCAGCCTGAGGGTGGGGAGACTGGAGAGGGACAGGCTGCACCAATAAAACTCGCAGGGAGTGACTGACTTGAACTAACAAAACCCTTTCCCATGCACATGCCTAATACTTAAAACAATAAAAGCATCTTTGGGAACTACTGAGGCATGGGAAAGCCAAACAAAATCTGTTCTGGATTTACTTTAGTCAGCAAGACAAAATTTCAGAACCCTTGCTCTATTAATTTGGGGCTTAACTATCACAGAACTCCAGAGACCATGA